CAATATGTGGAATGGCAGAGGATTTGGATTCCAGGCCAGATGTTCTAGCAGCCTTAATGATATGTGGGGGATATGCAGACAGGATGGCTTCTGGAGATACTGAGAGATAATGATGTGTCCAGATTTAAATCTTAGCAGACTTCCATTCTCAAGTGTGGAGCAACCAGTGATTGTGAATAAACAGAGCCCATTTATGAGCTCCTGCACAGCTCTGTTAGTGACAGTTGGCCTATCTCCAACTTTCGACTGTTTTTCCTCTGTATTTTCCAGTGGATGTACTTTAGGTCACCTGTGGTCACTGGGACCATTCCTCTCCTCCGTGGAAAAACGAGGCTACATGTTATAATTGAGCTAAATAGGGCATGACTGAAGTTTATGGAAAATGGGCAGTTTCTGGTGCCATGAAGAGGCTTAGCCCTTTCCAAGCTGACTCCATCGTGTCCAACATGAATCATCCCCATATGTCCACAGAGAGTTCCTCTTTCAGTTGTCACAAAAGCCAAGAGCCTCTTATCCTTATGAAACTAAAAAAAAAAAAAAAAAAAAAAAAAAAAAAAGAACTCAGTGATAGCCAGCTTAATCGTTTTGGACTAGCTTATGGGCATTAAACCCTTTTCATTAGGAGGAAATATTTCCCAGCCAGGCTGAGAAAGCACATATCAAGTTTCAGCTTGATTCACTTCAAAACCGCCATGAAAATTGGGACATTTTCTTCACACCACAATGAGTTAGTCATGGAAATTCTTCCTTAATCACAGTTACCATGGCCACATTCATGAGGAGCATGCCCTGGGCCACTGAAAATTTATGTGACAATATTGAAGAGTGTGTCCCCTTCCCCATCAGAAAGCAGAAGTCTGTGGCAGTTCTCAATCTAAGGAAACATACCAAGATAACCTGAGGTTCTCCTTGCAGCAATTAGCCTCATCATTGGGGTATCTTTCTTCGTAGCAGTTTAGTGTAGTTAGTGTTTCAAAGAATGTTCTTTATAAGCTAAAACTGTAGAAAATTAAACTTGGCTGAAATGTGCATTAAGATGCTGAAAGTGGCTCCTATGAGGGACTCTGACCCTCCTCTTACTGGTGAGTGACAGAAACGAGGCAGACTTGTTGGCCATCTGTCATGCTTACTGAGTGTGGCCAGGCTCCATCATGCCTAGGTCTTTTTAGTACAAACCTCAGCCAATAGAGCTAAGTGAACCAGCCAAGCACTTCCCCTGCTGCCATGGCACAGATCGTTGCCTTCTGCCCTGCAGCTGCCATGCTGTGTCCCACTAAGAGCCACCTTTAGAAGCTATACTCCTAGAGGAGGAGTTTTCCTTCTGCTAGTTCATTCACTCATTTGCTCCTTCTTACCTCAACAGAATATCCAGCGTGTTTTTCCTAAGAATGAGGTAAACTTTGAGGATAAGGCCCTGCCTTCCTGGGTCTCACAGCCCAAACATAGTCAATGGGCACCATGCTTCCAAGTCATCCTAAGAATGTAATTCATTAGAGCCCATTACATGAACTTTTCCTGGGGAAGATATGAACAGATGTGTCCTCCCCCTTACCAAAGACAGAGCAGAATATGATTCTGCCAAAATTCAACTTGGGACCAATGAGTTTATTGGGTTTACACAGCATGGGTGAGGGGTTTCTTACAGGAAAATGAGCCATGCCACAGCAGCCATTCCACCAAAATACTCACCCTCCATAGCTGTATAAATGGAGCCCCTCCTCAATTAACCTTCTACCCTGCACATACTCTAGTGCAGTGATTCTCATCCTTCCTAATGCTGAGACCCTTTAATACAGTTCATGTTGTAGTCACCTCAACCATAAAATTATTTTCATTGCTACTCTGTAACTGTAATTTTGCTACTGTTATGAACCATAATATAAATATCTTAAATTTCCGACAGTCTTAGGCGACCCCTGTGAAAGGGTCATTCTACCCCCAAAGTGTCAAAATCCACAGGTTGAGAACTGCTCCTCTAGCATCTCCTGAGGACCACGAGGTCACATGCTATCAGGGCCAAGTTACATACAGTGGCCTGGGAGGTACATGAGGAAATAGTTGGAATCTTGGGTGAGTGTCTATTGACCCTCTCCACCTCCTCCATCTGTGAAAAGATGAACCATATTGTTAGCATGAACTATCTAGCATGACCTCAGGCCCCTGTAATAGAAACAGAAGTTTCCTGGTGTGAACTTAGCTGTCTCTGCATGCTGAGTCCATCCCATGGTAAGCCCAAGGTGGTCCATCTTCTCTCCTAGTTTCAGCATCTCTCTCCCATTCCATTCTGCATGCTGCACCATTTCACCTCTGCCTCCTGCTCCCAGATGTAAGGGTGTCTCTTTGATTTTTTGTCAGCTATTTGAGCCTGTAACCAAGTACTTTTGGCAAGGGCTTCAACATCTCTGTAGCTTTGCTGTCAGGCTAGCACTCCTTCACCAAGTGCTGGAGGACCACTTTACTGATGAGATTTACCCCCTATGGCTCGCCTCAGCAAGCTATGTACTCCCAGGGAATCATCTGGAACAGCCTAGCACAGGAGGTAGAAACAGGAATCTCAGTTGGCCCGCCAGCCTAGCCGAATTTGGGATCTCCAGGTTTAGTGAGAGATCCTGTCTCAAGAAATACGGTGGAGAGTGATTGAGTAAGACAGCCAACATCAACCTCTAGCCTCCACATGTATGTGTCCCCAACTCTCTTTCCCTCTCTTCTCCCCACCCCAGTCTCTCCCTAATCCCTTCTCTCAACTCTCTTCTCTCTCCCACTTTCCCCCATAAAATAATTATCCATAGGAGTCAGCTCTGGCTATCTAGCAGAGAACTAGTCAATTGGCTAATTGATCTTTAATCACTTCACCTTGCTTAGGTTTTGTCTCTAGAGCTTGTTTCAGTTTCCTGGTCAGGGTGATGATATCCATCAGGCCACTCAGTCCTGGGAGTTCCCAGCCAAGGCCCTTGGCAATGGTTTGTTCCTTGGAACTTTCATTGGCCTTCTCTTCCACTCCCTCCCCTTGCTGTCTGACCAGCTTCTGCTCCTCTTTTTGTTTCCTTCCTCCTCTCCCTGAGGCTTCCTCTGCCCTCACCAGCCAGCCCCCACCCCCACTAGCAAACCACCCTAGCTGTGGTCCCATTCCACACTCCACTCCCAGCAGCCCAGCATCTGCTTGGCTAACCTGCTGAAAGCATCACATGTATAGAGCATATCGGTGGTGTTTTATGTGGCACTTTTCTGGATAGCAAGAAACAGGAGAGGGTGATTTGAAGAGGAATTATCCAACAATAGGGAATAGAATAAATGATGAATTTCCATGCCACCAAAGATTATATAAAGTATGAAGAATTTTTAGCAACATGGCATCCAAGGTTAAATAAAATAAAGAGAGTACAATATGATACATAACATTAGTTTTAATGTCTTATTTTCTAACAGTGGTTGTCTCGATGTGGTGAGATTTTCACTGACTTTTTGTTATTTTTTGGTTACAATTTCACATAAAAATATGCATGAAATTTGTATCTGGAGAAAAACTGATTTTAAAACAATGAATTGATATGTTAATGTCACACACTGGCTTTGTTCACATCAATCCAATTGTGTAATAGGGAATTTCTATTTCAGACAATATATACTTGGTAGAGTTAAGACCTGGGGTAGAGCCTAGAGAGGAACCTGTTGGGAAAATCAGACTATTTAAAGGGAAGGCTCCTGAGAGGAACCAGCCCAGCCAGCCAGCTTTGCACAAGTACCTCCCAGCATTACGGATCTGTGCCCTCTCCAGTTCCGGGTCCTCCTGGTTCCCTGATGAGCCATCTGGAGAAGTAAGACCCTTTATGAGCCACTCTCGGGTGTTTGATGCTGATTGGCTCCTGACTGGCCTCTGAGCTCCACTGATACATTCTCCTTATGTGATGTTGAAGATGTTGCCCTCATCACAGCAATAATGGTACCCAGTTCCTTCTCAGTGCTCATTCCTCTGAGCCTCTCATTTCCATCACATTTTGTTTATAAATCCCAGAAATCTACAGAACAGACCTCTTGCCCTGGTTACTTACCGACACTGGCAAAGTAAAGGCAGGGGCCTTTCTCCTGATACATGAGGACACACATGACTTTCTGTTCATTCTGACTGTCAGTCACTAAGATATAAACTCTTTGAGGGAGGGGCTCATCCCTGCACATTTGCTGGTGTCATCTTAATAGCACTTTCCCTATGTGACAAAGAGTAGTTTTTCAATAACAGTGGTGTTCAAGGTGATGTTACATGTCAGTAACCCCAGTGCTATAGAGGCTAAGGCAGAAAAATTGTGAGTTCGAGGCCAGAACTAAGTTTTTTTTAAAAAAAAAACAGTATATTTAAGATGTTTAAATATGGAATGAATGAATGGATGGACAGATAGACAACTGATAAAGATGATGTCACCACTAAATGATGATTCTTGAAACAGAATAGAGCCAGGCTCAGTGCCTTGTCTGAACCTGATTCCCTTGCCCAGGAGTTTAGTCTAACAGGGTGACACCTGATGGCCTGACTATTGTGGCATAAATTGATGAGGCAGCCCTGATGTCTTTTAGAATCAACAGGAACCAGCATTCATATATCCATTGATGTTATGCCTTGTTATAATGGTCTTTTGTGCTGACACTTCAAGAATGTTCTGTCTACTAAAATGGTTAGATTTGTGAAAGAGAGAAGAGCCCTCCTTTAATCCTTGATCTGTAGCTTTTGAAAGATTTATGAATGTAACTGCCGAAGGGAAAAAGGCAAGAGCTGTTTCTCTCTTGCTTGCTAGCATGCTGAACTTGTTAAGCTGAGAGGAAACAGTTATTGCATTCCATTTGAGTCCTTTATTGAATGACCCAAGGGTATCAATGGCCTTTGTAAAAGATAAAACATAATCTAGATTGGCAGGGTGCTTATTAAGGGAAAGAGGTGCTTATAACATACTATAAGGGTCTTTCCTCCTTATTTTTGTTCTTTAAAAAACTGTTTCATTTTGTTTTAGACCTAGAAGGTTTTGACTCTGTGGTATCATCTACTGAGAAGCTCAGCCACCCAACCACAAGCAGACCAAAAGCTACAGGGAGGCGGCCTCCATCTCAGTCGCTCACATCTGTAAGTGTCTCTTTACTCCTCTACAGCAGAAAGGCAAAAAGGACTTGAGATTCTGGCTAAGGACTCTTCAAGAAGATGATGGGAGACACCTCAGAAGAGGGAAAGGAAGAAGGAAGCCACCAGATATACTGCTAACTAAAAATACCTGGAGAATCTTTTTGAGTCAAGCAGTATTTCTCTGTTTGCTTTTTGTGTTTCTGCCAGCAAGATGGCACTCTCTGTTTCCCACTTTGCTTCTGTCTCTTTCTAGACCAGTTCTTCTTTGAGCCTGAAATGAAATTGGTAAGGAAAACAGAGAAAAAGAGAGTGAGCCTAGTTTTGTCTATTAATAAGACAAAGCTTCCTCAAAAAGATCTGCCACGATGCATTTAGAGCCAGTGGCCTGTGTCTTCCCAAACCCCATCATCATCTGGTCTCCAAAGAAACACATACAGACCTTCAAGAGGTTGTATTTAACCTTATGAAGTATACGAAGAGACCAATGATAACACTCAATGATAAACCATAGATGGTTGGTTTTGTTTGGGTAGTTTTAAATGGCTCTTTCTTATGAACCTATTATCTTCATTGTTGTGCCAAATTTGAGCAACATGACTCATAAAGGAGAAAATAAGTTTTCTATAGTCCTGCCAGAAAAGCAAAGAACTGCTATAACCTCTTGCTGTGTATAGCCTGAGATTTTTCAAAGCTTTTTTTCATTTAAAATTGGGATAATGTAATCTACATTGCTTTGGATTTTGCCTCTACCCCCAAAGTTTTAATACTGCACACCATTCTCTCCAGTCGTTACCAGTTCTTCCCAAATGACATATTTAATGACTGCTTACTATTCTACAGTGTGAGTACATGAGTTTATCTATTAAGTGTACTATTATTGGATTTTGATAATGATTCCAAGTCTTTGTTATAAGCCATGTGTGAATGCTGTTAGGTTCGAGTTTTCTGAAGGTGGGGCACTGGGAAGTGTGTTGCCTTGATGTTGCCATTAGTTGCTCATGCATGTGTGCATGCGCGCGCGCGCGCACACACACACACACACACACACACACACACACACACACACACACGAGGTCATTTCCCCTCCACAAGTAGAGTATATGTGTTCGTCCATCCTGCCTGCCGATTATCAGTCTGTCTGTACATTGCCATGTCCTTTGCAGTTCTAAGGCCTCATAACCTCCCTCCAGAGACATCAAGGAATTTAACCTTTTGTAGGTTTCTCAGGATACTTCTCTTTTCACCTCATCACTAATCTTGCCTGTGTTCTTGTCATTTACAGAAAAAGAATGCCACTTCCTTTGAGCCTCTTCTCTCAGATCTGGACATATGGCTTGAATTGTCCTATTTTTCTTCCTTATGTGAACCACACCTAACTTTGTATTGATACATTTTTGAGATAAAGACTTGAAGAAGTGGCTTCCTTTACATGCTTTTAGAATTCTGTGGCAACCTGCCTTCTTTCATTTCTCCTGTCCACACTCTACCCACCCCAACATGCACAAATACACCCAACCTATCTGATTGCTTCTTGGCATGTTTGCATTCCTATTTTTCAATCCTACCACTTCTATCTTCTCTTTAAATTCTTCATAATTTTTGTTTTCTTTCCAAGTTTTCATAACCTTTTGAGGTATAAAGAGCCCTGTGTCTTTCCGGAATTAAATATTAAGTGGTTCAAATTATTACCCCTTAGTTTGTACGTTCCATGTTGAGAAGTTTGTGTAATATTTTGGAGATCAAATAATGATAGCTCATCTTCACCCTGCTTCTAGGCAGGTCAACATATATTCAGAGACATCTATCTCCTGTGGACAGCACACTGTCTCAGGTGTTAAGGATACAGATGGTAATGAGAAGTACATGGTCACTGCCTTTAAGAAGCTAATTTTGGTGACTCAGCATCTGACATCTTATAGAAAGTGATTTTACTTGGACTTAAAACAGAATACCTTGGTGCTTTAATGATATAGAGTAAGAAGATTCTTGTTCTTCATTCTTATCCATCCCCATTTGGACGTACACACTAAATTATTTTTCACTCTTAAAATTAGCACCTGTGAGGTTTTCATAACAAATGGGATGAGTGGATAAGGACATATTCCTCAAAGGCCAATGGAGGAATAATTGAAGAAATAGTAGTTATTCTTCTCTGGCCTGGGGCAGTTTCTTTCTAATTGGAGCTCTTTGTGTTTATAAACCCTTAAGAACAGGATCATGCAATGAGTTGTGTAGAAGGAGGCTTTTAAAATAAAATCTTGAAAAGATCCATGGTGTTGAGTAGGTAAGCTTAGATTATTAGTAAGAAAGTTTGGTGGTGGGCATATTTTAGTCAATTGGATTTTCAGATTAAGTGAAGATTAACAAATAAGACCCCTTGAAGCAAAACCTTGGCTTAAAAATACCCCCAAATATTTTAAGGTTCTGCCATGATAAATGGGATAAAAGGAAGAAAAAGTATTTGTAAGCATAATTTTTCCATATGGTAATTCTAAAAAGAATCATTTATCTACCCCAGGGTAGAAAGCAAAGGAAGGAAAATGAAGCTGAATTTGAGCTTGCTCCAACATATTTCTAGAAAACTCTTCATTTTAAAAAGACCCCTTGCAACAGGGACACTTGATCTCATTTGTTTTGTTCTAAGCTTGAGACAGTCTAGCTAAGGAATTACTTGTGATCAAGAGAGTTCTGGTGACTTGCTCCCCATTCGGCCAGCTTTTGGTGTTCATGGTGATTTCACTGTGAGGCAGGAAGGGCAGGGATATCGAACCATATTCTACCCATTGATGCTGCCTTTCTGTAAATATACCTTAACAAATGCATCCAGAATAGGTGTTTACTGACCATGGTAGTGAGGGCAGAGATTAGTAGCAGACACCAAAGGGGAAGTGTGTTTAGGCTAGTGGGCAGGGCTATGCTTTGGGGCTGGGTAAATAAATGCTCATTACTCTTGGTCCCGTGCCTCTAGGAATGGCCTCCTCTCACATGTATCCTTGAAGGCACTTTGGTGTGCAGCAGATGTAATCATTCTAGAGTCAAGGAATAGGGTGCAGAGGGGGCTGAAGGAGAGGAGGGGATGAAGCAGTCTCCTATTTACTATGGGTCATTTCCTCTCATGCTGCTAGCCTCAAAAGGGCTGGAACCACATATGGCATGTCGTCCTTGAGCCTGCATTACCAGCTCAGTGTAAGGTACACAGTAACAAATGTTTGGAGAAAAGAGAGACTTGGAAAGGCTGTACAACATATGCTTACATTTTTATGTGATTGATGGGCATCAGGGGCAGCTACCAATTTTGCTTCTTGGGGCTTGGTCCAAGTTCTACTACCAGGGAGCCATACGGTTATCTGTTGTGAGAAGATAACAGCATGCTTTCTGCTTCACAGGGTTATAGAGACAGATCAAATAGAAGTGCTGAGTGCTTTGCAAAGCAAACAGCATCACATTAACAAAGCTGTGTCCACTAAGGTATGATTCTGACGAAGGCATTTTCTTTTGGCTTTATCCAGTCCTCCCTTTCAAGCCCCGATATCTTTGACTCCCCAAGTCCCGAAGAAGATAAAGAGGAACACATTTCGCTTGCGCACAGAGGACTAGACGTGTCAAGGAAGACTTCCAAGACTGTTACCATATCCCAAGTGAGTGAGTGGCCAGGGTGAGGTGTCCCTGCCCTTCCATGCATGTACTAACAATGGGTTAGAAACCAAGCAGGATAAACAAACAGTGGGGATGGATGTTTGTCATTCTTTAGTGACAGTGATTACTGTAGTCATCAGAATCCCTTAGGCAAGTTGTAGAGTCCCTGAGCTGTGCATTCGAGTGTTTGTTTTGTTTTGCAGTTTCTCTTGTAGTCGGCACTCTTCATTAGGTCACTTGTACATTTCTAAAAAAAAAAAAAAAAAACCCTGACACTTCTGCTGCCTTAAACTTAAAAGGTTATATCTCGACAGACTACATTTAATGCTGTGCTCGGTGCTCACAGACCTTGTCTTTTATATTCAAAACTGGCAATAAAATTATTGGAAGATTTTTTTAATTTTATACTTACCATGGTCTCTTAAAGAAAAGTTGGCTTGGATTCATGCTCCAGAGGAAATTTATAGTCTAAAGCATTTTAATTTCACCCAGAGAATGGTAAAGCTGATTTAAATTATTTGTTTTTGAGAAATGAAGAAAACACTGTAGTGGTGAACACCCATAGTCCCACCTGCTGGGGAGGTGAGGTAGAAGGAATTACTTGATACAGAAGTTTGAGACCAGCCTAGATAGCATAGTGAACACTCCATCTTGAGAAAGAGAGAGACATACACACACGGGGATTGAAGAGACAGAGAGACCAAGGGAGAGAAGGGGGTGGGGAGCAGAAGTGACTCAGTGGAAGAACACTTACCTAGAATGTGCAAGGCCCTGGATAAGATTCCCACCACAAACGGCCATTAGTTCGCTACTGCGTGCAACTGTGAAGAGTAAACACCCTCTACACGCTCAGATCTTCTTAGAAATAAATGAAGACTTTAAAATTCCATTTTCTTGTACTAAGAAAACCATCAAGTAGGATTGTTTTCTTGGAACATTAGCAACATTTTAATGTCTAGAAGCACAAAACAGCATTTGAAGTAGGCATTAGCACAAAGAAATCGAAGGTTGGAATGGATTTTCCTCCTCATAGATTAGAGAGTTTGCATTGCGGATTTTCTTGAAAATCTGATACAGTAAGCAAAAGGTGATCCTATAAAACAGATCAATTTTAATTACCCACAAAGCCAAGGCATTCTTCCTTTTCAGAGGATTCTATTTACTGAAATTGGATTTAAACCAGTTTTTTGTTTAGTTTTCTGGTGTCCATAGGCATAACTTTAGTTTCCTGGTCTTTGGCATCCCAGGGATGTCTCTACAGTGACATCTACTGGCCGATAGTGGTTTTTCATGTTTCTGACCTGCACAGCTCTATCCATTAGCCTATTTCAGTTCCCTAGAGTGGTCAGGTTGTATATGTCACTCCTTTAAGAAATTCCACTTGAACTAATTTGATCAAGGAGTGTGGTGGCCTAGACTATGTGGGGGACTGAAAATACTTGTTAGCTTCAGTGGGATGGTCTGAGAGCCCATCAGACAGAAAACAGCAGAACTATGAATCTAACTTAGGAGTATCTGGAAGTTGGTGTTATGGGCACTGGTGGGTCTTGAGAGAGAAGTAAAAGAGGGCTGGAAATGGGAGAAGGCATGAGGCCTGGTTAATATAATATAATCAGCAAAGAAAACAAGAGAAGAGCACAGATCTTCGGACTCCATCAGCCATAGATACCGTTCTGGACTGAGGATCCAACTGGTAATTCCAGTTATACTAATGATTAGATCCAAGACTCGGAGAGTTTTCCCTATAGGCCTCAGTTTCCTGCTTGGTACAATGTGTGGGCAAGCTGATCACTGTTTACACTGTAGAGCTGATGTCCAGGGTGCAATCACAGTTCTGTAAATGTCAGTTCTCTCTCCTCGTACTATGACTCCTCCTAACAACAAAGCCTGGGCTGGCGAAGTGCTCTCCCTGGCAGCAGAAAGTGCTTTTCCTCAATGGTAACTTGGCAGAGAAAAGGCGAACAGAGAGACTGAGAACGATGGCCCATCTGCTTTTGGCACGCTCTGCCCAGTCTCTGCCTCTAGAACAGCCTGAATCCAGACTCTACCTCCTTGCTGCCGTGCCAGCTGAACCCCTCCTTGGCACCTTCCCTGGGATGGCCGGCTGAGCGCCTGCTGCTGGAGGAAATCCCATGGTTGCTGTGCCAAGCTTCACCACCAGCCTCAGCTTCCACCCTATACTCACCCTATTGGCTCCCAAAGTCCTATCCCACTACTTTGCCTCCTCCTCACCTGCCTTACTCACTCACTTGCCCTTTGTAGTGCTTCCTCTCTGGGCCTACCAGGCACTTGTACTCCCTCACTCAAGACTGACCCACAGCCTGTATGTTCCTGTCTTCCTCAAACACCTCTCTATCAGGCCTTTCCCACCTCTTCATCTTCAGCCTGTTCATCCATAGACTTCTCCCCTAACATGTCATGCAGCTCAGGGTCTCACTCATCTGTGAAAGCAAATAAAACCTTATTTCTATTCTGTCTCCCCAGGAAGCTTCTGCCTGACTTCACAACCTCTCTCCTCCATCTTCCCTCCACAGCCAAGTTTGTGGAAAGGATCTTCATTATATCAGCCATATCACTCAGTCCCCATTCATAAACTGGTCTATCACCATTGAGTCCCAAGTGGGTTCCATTTTCCTTTCAATCCCCTTGACACACTTATCCAGCCTTTACTTTCCTCTAGGCACTGCCCTAAGCCAAGCCCTTCCACTGGTCTTTCTTCATTCGCTCTCTCACTACTTCTTCCCAATTGCCAAGAGCTTTTTCTTCCTTCTCTTCTTGCCTCATTGATTTAGAATTTCCTAGCTTCCACCACTGGGCATCTTCTGATCTCTCTTAACTATACACCCATGATTTCTACTTCCTTTGGCCCAGCTCCTTATTTTAGTTGCCTGCTCTGACCACTAGGCACACCCTGTCAGTTGTCCCTCAACTTCCTAAAATTCAAAACCTAAAATGACTATCTGGGCCTTCCTCCATGAAAGGCACCACCTCTGCCTGTTCTTTCCCTATGACCCTGTTTCTTTCTTAACTATCTACAGTCTACCTAGGTCCTCATTTCCTTGACAGTGGTAGCCTGATCTATGAGGGCAGAGACTCCATTGACCTTACCCAGTCCCCACTCCAGTACCAGGAGTGATGTCCGATGGCCTTTGTTAGATGTGCCTGCCTTACCCACGTCTCTCAAAATAGTCTTCCTTCTAGCTCACCCCCTATGCTAGATACTCACTGTTTCTGGCTTGCATGGTATCACAGTCTCAATAGTTCTATCTAGTTCCAGCTTTGCCAACTCTTTGGCCTTTCTGCTCCCACAGCACTCATCAACAGGGTATGGAGCCATCTGAACCATCCCCTTATCTCCCTGCTGCCAGCACTCCTTTCTCCTGTTCCCTTTATCTTAGCCATGATTCTCACTAGGTCTCTAGGCCATTGTCTTGGACCTTCCCTTCTCATACAGTTTCTTCTTCTAATAGTCCCCTCCCCCTGACAAAATGAACTATTAGCTGCTTCCTCCTTACTTCTGGGAATGTGGCTGCTTTGGTGTGTTTCTGGGGTTCTCTGTGCTTCCTCCCTCTTGTGCTACAGTGTGTATTGCTTTGTCTGTTTGCTAGTGCCCCAGTAAGTTCTAAGCTCCAAGGGGCCAGGAAAATGCCTTGCTTACTTCAGGATTTGTAGGGCCTGACAAGCAGTTTCATACCTCTCGGTGCATAAGAAACCAATCTGGGACCATCTTGTCTAGGAAGAAGATGAAATTTAAAATACATACAGGTAGCCCTTGAGCAGTGGTCTCTCTGTAACAAGTCGGCCATAGATGGCTTGTGGGTGAAGGAATGAATGCATAGAGTTTGTGGAGACAGGTATGGGATTGGGTACTGAAGGTTGATTTGACTTGTCAAGAGAGGGAGGCAACCCCTGAACAGATCCCAGGCTCTGAAGCCTCTCCACCTTCCCTTTTCACAGGTGTCGGACAACAAGGCATCTCTGCCACCCAAGCCAGGGACCATGGCAGCTGGCAGCAGTGGGCCAGCCTCTCTATCTTCAGTGGCTTCCTCCCCCATGTCATCCTCTTTGGGACCATCTGGACACAGAGCCAATTCTCCATCTTTGTTCAGCACAGAAGGAAAACCAAAGGTGGAGCCTGCAGTCAGCAGCCAGGCTGCTGTAGAGGAGCTTAAGACACAAGTCCGAGAGCTGAGGAGCATCATCGAAAGCATGAAGGACCAGCAGAAGTGAGTAGCAGGGACCCTCACAGCTGCTTCCAGGTGGTTCTCTACTGGCTAGCCATGGCCTAGCTCTGAAAGCTTGGATCTCATTCCTCCTGAGGTTGGGCTAGGCCTTCACATTGATAGTGGCAGCAGAGCTGGAAGTAGGTATAGACTACAAGAGGCCTGAAATCTACTTCACATTGATAGTGGCAGCAGAGCTGGAAGTAGGTATAGACTACAAGAGGCCTAATTTATAATAAAATTATGGTATTTTAAAAGCATGTCCAGCCTACTATGTGACAAAGAACACAGCTTGGCTATATGCTATATAGGGATGAGTCAGTTACAAGAATGGACAGTCTCAGTAAATGAAATTCACTAGAAAATAGATTATGTCCATGTTAACCAGCTTTTAAAAAAACTTTCAAAAGTAAGTGTGTGTGTGTGTGTGTGTGTGTGTGTGTGTGTGTGTGTGTGTGTGTGTGTGTGTACAATAAACAGACAGCAGTTTCCAGGAGTTGGTTCTCTCTTTCCACAATGTGAGGTCTCGGAGATTGAAGTCAGCTCATCAGGCTTAGCAACAAGTACCTTTACCTTCTTAGCCATCTCACCAGCTTTTCATCACTGTTTCAGAATTTTGAGAAAATCAACTTTTAAGAAGGGAAGATTCAGGGCCAGAAAGACAGCTCAGAGGTTATGATCACTTACTGATCTTACAGAGGACCAGGATTTCATTTCCCAGCACCCAGATGGCATCTCACGACTGTCTGTAACTCCAGTTTCAAGCGATCTAATGTCCTCTTCTGGCCTCTGTGGCCATCAAACATGTACATAGTACACACATATACCTGCATACAAACACTCCTCCACACAAAATAAAAGCAAATTAAAGGGGGAGATTGTTTTGGTTCATGGTTTTGGTTCATGTCAGTTGAGCTTTTGTGCTGAGGCAGCATATCATGGCAGGGAGCATGTGAGAGAAGACTTCCTCACTTCATGGCAGTCAGGAAGCATCAAAGAGACAGCAAGGGATAAGAGTCCCAATAGGCCTTATATATTCCCAATGACCTAAATGTCTTCTACTAGAGTCGTAGAAGTCCACAACCTCCTAGTAGTAGCACAGGCTGGAGGTCAGGCTTTTAACCTGTGGATCTTTGTGGGGACATTCAAGAGTCAAACATTAGTACATATACAAATTCTTTTGCTTTTAGTTCCAGTTACGTGTGTGTTGGGGGAGCCAGCATTGTGCCCTTGTGTACAGGGCCCACAGAGAGACCGGAGGTGTCTGATCCCCTACAACTAGAGTTACAGGTGGCTTTGAGACATCCAACATGGGTACTGGAATCTGAACTCACATCTTCTGGAAGAGCAATATACACTCAACCTATGTGCTATCTCTCTAGCACCATCTATATCACTAACTTTTCCTCTAGTGTTACGGGGGAAATGTAGCTTCTTAATTTAGGTGGCAGATAAAACAACTGGCTTGCATCAAGGGGCTGTAATATATGAAGAAGATGTAGGGAATCTTTAAACCCAAGATTTTTCTGTCAGGAAGATGTCCTCATCATGAGACTCAGGAGCCTTTCCTCATGCATGCTCATATACATACTTTCACATGTCTTATCCTCAGGGAGCACTTGAATGGGAAGAAAAGCCTGTGAACAAAAGTAAAATATCCTACACCAGGACTGCCTGGGAGGCTGCATTGACTTGGAGGAAGCTAGTAAAGAATTAGTAGTAGGTAGCCCTTGAAGAAGCTGAGGCTCACAGACTACTAATTTAGAGCTCAATTAGCTCTTTCTGGAAAGAATCTTTCTTGAGGTACTTCTCAGGGAAGCATTTCATGGGCATTTTGAAAAATGGTCTAGAATTACCAGGAGAGAACTTTGGCAGAGGGGATAGCATGCAGCTTCATAGGCAACTGAACAGCCTGGAGGATCATTGTCTCCCTGGGCTCCTGGCCACCTTTGTTCAGAAGATGCTTGGGGGTGATGATGAGAAGTATGGCCAACATCCTGCAGCCTGTGGGTGGGGGTTCTGGGACTGGTAGTACCTGACACTTGCCTCTCTTCCGAGGGTGGAAGGCCCTGAAGTATTTTGTGGTCAGACACTTTGTGGAGTAGTTGGGTTAAACAAAGCTAATTTCTTCTCTGAAGGACTTTTTGAAGTCTTTGCCACACACTGGGAGGATACAGAAGACAGCACATGCAGTTTTGCAAATGCATGTAACCATAGGTCTATCTAGTGAGTTCTAGGATAAGGGTTCCAAGGAACTAACTTTGAGCAATGTGGGTCTAAGCAGGTTCTGTTCCACTCCGGCTAGACAATGAGTAAAAGTGGGCTACGTCAAATCACTTTCTGCTGGAAGAGAGTCATCAGATAAATATGCAGAACTGCTTAGATGACACTGGAAAGCTTCCCTGGGCCATCCAAGCTCCCCCAAATTCCTTACAGTTCCTGGTTCCTGTATGGCTCTAGAAGCTATAGGTTTGGGTACCCAAAGGACATCTATATCCAGGGAATGCTTGTCCTTTGCCAAGACAATGAATCCATGGTTCCAGGACATCTGGCCTTCTGAACAGGGCCATATTAGTACCTGACTTACCTGGATCCAGGGCCTTGGAACTTTATACTCACTGGGGGTGGGGAGCTGTGCCTGGAAGCTACCCACAACTTTGATGACCTGACTTTGTCTCTGAGTCCACAGGTAGCTGTGCCTTAAAGCCACAATACTCCTTCCCCGGCCAATATCTTATTTAATCAGTAACTCAGGATGTCAATCCTCCCTTCAAAGACCTGTCTCTCATAGCCTTCCTTGGTTTGGCCTGCCTGCCCAAGATCAGCGAGTCTCCAGCAATCTTCTACCTTAGCCCCTGGTATCACTTTCCCTGGAGCATTCAATTTGTGTCTGTCCCACTGTCCTCAAATGTGCTCAGCTTTTGGAGGCAGGCTCACCTCCCTACCCTGCCTTTAATTTCCCCCAACTAACCTATGTCCCTTTCTCCTTGTAGACAGATGCCCATTTTCACTACTTCAAGTCTCAGTGGCTTTCTTAACACCATCTTCTCTAACTGACTTCCTCTTCCTAGACCATGGCCCACTTAAGGCCATGCCTGCCAAGTTTTCCTGGGGTTGGACTGCTGTTTTAGGACCTTATTGTCAACTGCTTTCCTAAGCCCTAAGTGGTATCCATACATATATGGATGTGTAATGTGTGTTTAAATAACTATACTAATAAATCATAACTAATTTATGTCAGGTTATAACTTGTTATAACCAGAGTGTTGACAGAAGTGTTAGGACATAGTTTCAAGTATGTGGGACCATCATGGTATTCATCTGGAGTTGAACAAATGTACTGTCACTGTGTCTGCTGTGTTGTTTCTGAAGTCTTCTTTTCCATCTCACAAATGTACACGTCTAATACCTCAAAACAAAGGGAATGCAGATCTTGGACTAATCAAAGATCAGAGTCCCAGCTTTGCAGATTCAACTTTATCATTTCAAGTTGGAAAAGGCATTAGGCTGTAACAGGCCCCATGTTTGCCCTCTTTCAGACTTCACTTCTATATTGTTAATTCATATATTTAAAGTCCAATTAGTGCATCTTAAGGTAAAGTCAATTTGTAGAATTTTGTGAAAACATACCAATGACCTAGTATTAAGATAAATTCTATAGCAAATTGAAGTATATATGGAGTGGTAAAAATATCTTCAATGGGTCTAGGGAGGTGGCTCAGTAAGAAAGTGCTTACCATACAAACATGAAGACCTGAGTTCAGATCTCAAGCATCCATGTACAAAACATCTGTAATCCCAGCACTGGGAAGACAGAATCAAGAGGATCCCGGGTTTAACTAGCCAGCTAGTCTAGCTGAATCAGCAAGCTTTGGGTTCAACGAGAGACCCTGCCTCAAACAGTATGGTGGAAAGAAATTTAAGGAGACACTTGATTTTATCAGCCTCTGGCCTCTACACACAAGGACTTGCACATACACATGAACATGAAAATACATGAACAAAAAGGTGTCTACAATGACATATTCTGTAAATACATAGTGGTTTTAAAAGACAAGTTAGAGGGAAGTTTGCAGAATATGAGCCTTAGTACTGGAGTCTACTTATTGGAAAAATCAGGGCACCATTCTATGCCTTAGTTTCCCTATTTTCTCCTCTTGGGAGAAATATAGCCTAAGGGCTTGCTAAGGTCATCTCCAGACCTGACATTTGAAGGCTACATGTTTTGGTGGTTCCCTCCCAAATAGCAGCACAGTACAAAGAAAGCCTGTTTGGGGGTGGTGAGATGGTTCAGGGGGTGAAGGGGCTTGCCGCCACCTGTCTTAGTTAGCTTTCTAATGCTGTAATAAAGAGCATGCCAAAATCTAACTTATGAAGGAAGGTTTATTTGGCTTATAGTTTATAGTCTATCATCATGGGAAGTCAAGGCAGGAACCTGGAGTCTGGAACTAAGCAGAAACCCTGGAGAAATGTTGCTTAAGGGCTTGCTCCCCATAACTTGCTCATTCTGCTTTCTTATACAGGCCAGAACCCACGTGATAGGAATAGCACCATGCACAGTGGGCTAGGCTCTCCAACATGAATCATTAATCAAAAACACTCCACAGACTTGCTTAGAGATCAATCTAGTGGAGGCATTTTCTCAATTGAAGTTCTTTCTTTGCAGATGACCCTGGGCTTGTGTCAAGCTTACAAAAACTTAACCAGCATGCCACCCAACAGTGCAAGTCAGGGATGACCTGACTTCAACATCTGGAACCCACATAAAGGTGGAAAGAGTGAACCAACTCCACAAAAGTTGTTCTCTGACCTCCACACCATGCATGTTCCTGCCCCCATCATACACGCATGCATGTGTACACACACACACACACACACACACACACACAGGGAATTAAAAAAGAAAATAATATCTTTGGTCCATACTTTCTTTGCAAAAAGGTCAGATGGATTTCATAGTAATGTTAGATTTTCTTACCTCTCATTCGGAAACTCTGGGCTTTGATTTGATTCCACTGGCATTTGCTTTTCAGACGTGAGATTAAGCAGTTACTGTCAGAGCTGGATGAAGAAAAGAAAATAAGACTTCGGTTGCAGGTAAGTCCATGAGGCCTAGGTTCAATTAGGAGTGGAAGCAAACTCAGGGCTTCTAGTTGAAAGGAAATGATTGCAGTTGGGTCTGATGATGCATGCTTTTAATTGCTGCATTGGGGAGGTTGAGGAAGGAGGATCACAAATTGCAGACAAGCCTGGACTATAGAGTGAGTCCCATGGGCAACCTGAGCTACCTAAGCTATAGTCTTATTGTCTGTCCTTACCTGAACTCCAAAAGCTCTTGGGGAAGAAAGAGAAGAATCAACATACTCCTAGTTGGGCTTCTAGTTTGGAGTTTATTTTAAACATATCATCTGTAAAATATTCCCACCAGTTTGATAGGATGATGATATAGGTAGGATACCTCATCATTCTAAGTACCAGAGAACATGGCACTCACAAAGCTCTGTTGTTAGCCATGTGGTCCCTCCAGAGACCACAGACCTCCACAATGGTGTTTCATTTGAACTCTTTACTTCTCCGCAGTGGCCTTGTTAGTCCTTCCGTGGCATCTGAGCTCTGTCCCCCTCTAGCTGCTGGTCCACCTCTGTCCTGATGACTGCTGGAGATCTTTCAGGGATCATTCCAAATGACCAAAGACCGGTTTTTATTGTCCATTCAGTTTGGGCACATGCCACTTATAAAAGAATAGGAATTGCTCACCACCCTGTTGGGAGTGCTTACACCTACCCTTTGGGGTCATTCTCAGATGGTCTTGATTGCCTGCTCCACCCTCTGGCCAGGAATCTATAGTCATTGCTGCTTTGGGATAACTTTGGAGCCTAGGACCCTGGGATCGACCAGGCACATTATTTGTCAGGGTACCATACAGGTTCAAATTGTTTCTGGCATTCTTACCAATTCCTCATTCAGATGTCAATTTACCCATTTCATCTCTAAAATTGTCAGCTTGTCTTTTCTTTGATGAGGGTGATTATCTTTCAGCTTCTCTAAATGCAGCCATTTCATGATGCCTGTTTGCTGCTTTCCCCCCTCTTTATAGATGGAAGTGAATGACATAAAGAAAGCTCTTCAATCAAAATGAATACTTGATAATTGAGATGGTACATTATTCACCCTGAGTCCGAGACTCAAATTTTCTGCCCCAGCCAAAATCATCTTGTGCCAAAAGATTAAAGGTTTGCCTCAATATGTCCCTGTTTGAACGATTAGCACAAAAGTCTTGATAGCACAACACAAATTCCATCCAAGAGGAGACTCTTTCCCATGGTGTTGTCCTGGGTCTGGCAGTGGTTGTGATTTATAGCCAATTGTGCTAAAGGCTTTTCTACCTTGAGATCTCCTGTGAAATGAAAACTCAGGCAGTTTAGTCCATAGTACTATTTTGATGATATTTTCCATTAATAAAATGTAATTTCAGATTATTCATTTACAGGCTTTATAATTTTATGATTTTTTAAATCGTGTTTTGTCACAGATGCCCCTAGTGTTTGTGCTAATCTAGTCCGAAGCAAGTGTCTTGCTCACTTGCTACAGGTGGACTGAATGCCACCTGGCTTTTTATTCCCCTTTAGGAGTCTATTACATATGCAATTTGAGGTCCAACCCTTCTCTTTCCTTGCCAGCCGACCCCCACTCTAACAGAAATTTTAGCTTATATATGATGGTATATTTACAAAAAGAGAAAGAGAAAATCTGGTATTTGCAATGATCTGTGCCTTCTTTCTACCACCCTCTTGATTGGAGCTTTTGTGATGCAGCTACCATGATTCCAAATAAAGAAATTTAAAAAAAACAACAAAACAAAACAACAACAAAAAACAAAAACAAACAAAAAAAAACCAACAAAAAACCCCAGCTACTTATCCTTGTCCACTAGAGGCCGCTGTCTTCGCAGCTTCTCTCACCATAGCCAAAGGTCCTAAGAGGAGACAGCTGGAAAGTCTGGCCTGCTCTTTGGTACCAGCTGTGACTTTTCAGTTTCTCCTACCTTGAGGTTGTTCATGAAACTAGAAATGTCATTCCAGCTTGATTGTTTTGTCATCAGCCAAGTTAAACCTTGCTTCCTGCCTTTTACACCTATTGCGTGAACAGAATATGCATTATTAAAGCAAAAATAAATAAAAAATAAAATGCAAATGAAAACAGGGGGGAATTGGATTATTTCCTGCACTGGGTTATATGTGTGTGTTATTGTTTAAACTGTATTCACAGTGTCATTTGCCTTGCGCACTTGTAACCCCCTCCTGAGATCCAGGAGAACAGGAGGAGGGTCTTGTGGAAATGTAGCTATTGGATCTTTCCTGCACTTACAGAATTGCTTTTTCTTTCCCAATGAAACTGATGTTTGCTTGTCTGCTTTATCTTTATAGTACACGAACAGTTCAGCCTTAGACTATGTAACTGTTTTCTCATCCTTAGCTGAAAATGGGGGTCATCCTGTACTGCAAGATTGTTGATGGGGTAGAGATGGAGGGGTGGTCCCTTAATGGCCCCCAAATATGTTTGATGTGTTTCTAAACTGCTGCTTTGTCTATTACCTGCATTTTATAGTGAAATTACTAAACATTAATAGATTTTCACTACCACAAAGAATGAAAATTGATGACACAGAAGGAATGATGCAAAAACCTCACATTATTCATTATTGAAAATATAACAAATAAATGTCTCTTCTTTTTCTTCCTGTCTCCCTCCCCATGCCTTGTTCTCACTTGCATACTTGTCCTTTCTGCTCGAGGCCATCACTTCCCTCCATGTAAATACAGAGTCTTGGTGCCCTAGCCTTCATGGGTGGGGACACAGTTAGGGGAAGGGAATATGTAAAGAAATCATTCTTTATTCCCATGTGTGAAGATATTTTCCTTTTCAGCAGCCATGGTCTCAGTGTGCTTGGGGCCAAGAGCAAAGGGTTTCTACAAGCAGTGTAAAGCATTCCTGTTCCCCTTCACTGTGCTAAGCCTTTCTGCATTACACTTGAAGCCTTCAGAGATTTCCTAGCACCTATTACAAGAGTGAGGACTAGATCCTTGATGTCTGAATTTTCATTTGTTAGAAAATCCCTAATTGATGATATAGGATGTTTCTGTAGAGTGAGATCATTAACAATGAAACTGAGAAATTGAAGTATCCTCAGTGGGTGCTGGTAGCATGCAATGTAGAGGACTCATGTCTTCCCCTAAGAGAGGCACTGGATTGCTTTTTGGGGGGGAGGATACAGAGACAGAAACGAGAGACAGAGAGAAAGTGATTAAAGAGAAATGAGCTGGTATATCCAGCTTCATTACTATCCCTTGGGCTAACCAGCGAGAAGATTGTGCATCACAGAACTGGATGAGCCACTGCCCAAACAGCTACCATCTTTACTCTTGACCAAATGGACCCATCAAGAATATCGAAAAGCTTGGAATGGTCACTTTTTTGAAAATTAAAATTCCTTTGCATTCAGCATGGACTCAGCCAGGCATCTATGGAGATTATTTTTTTGCTTCATTTTCTAAAGTTGTATTTAGAAAAGTCTTACGTATTGTGCTTTGTAAAAGAAGATGATTAAAATGAAAGTTTGTGAAAATATTTTTGTTCAAAGTTGTCATGGTCCAAGAGGAATGATGTCTTGGAACACAAACCCCTTTTCTCTATTTTACACAATTTGATTACTCTGACAGAAATGTCCTTAGAAGACTCGAAGTAATCCATTAAAAATCTGTGCCTGTGAATTCCATTTTTTAAATTGTTAGATTTTTTCATTGCTATTGCAGCATAAAATGCTAGTTAGGTATAAATTCTTTTTTAGTGTAAAAACCATTAAATTATCATTATTGGAACGATTGTGTAAAGCCATTTTTATTTGTACACTGCCCTCAAGGCAGCACATTCAAGTACATGATCCATTTTCTCTAATAAGAACATACTGTATCTACCATCACATTTGTCTGTGGTTAGTAATGGTGCACTTTTATTTCCTTTCACAAGCAGTTCCTTTATGGTAAGACAGCAGGGTGTATAATTCATTGCTCATAGTTGCCATGGTTTGTATAAAAATAATCTCCAGGTTCCATAAAGACTTCCATATTATAAGCTGAGGTCATCGCAGTCATTTTTGCATCAGATTAGGTTTTAGTCCTTTAGTTATTTTTGTACAAACTAATGTCAAGATGTTTCTGCACTAAGAGGGCTTGATGAAAAGCATTTCCCTTTGGTTCTGTACAAATGAGAACTGGAACAAAACAACACATTTGTGGGTGACAAGGTGTTCAGCATGGATGATTGTAACATCTGACAGAGGGAAGGTTGGGTGCTCAGAACTTGGCTGAGTGACAGAGATGCTGTTCCTAAACGTAGCTTGGCATGGCCTAGGCAAAGAAACCTTTCTCATTCAGAAATAAATGTCAGTTGTATAAGGACTGATAAGGAAGATCAAGTCCCTTAAGAAGATGAGTCATACCCACTTACCAGGCTGAGTTCTGTCCCTAGCTCACAGGATTTGTTTCTAAGCCATAGATTTGAGGTGGCTCCTGGACTGAACGACCACCCAAGGAGAAGGTGCAGTTCCCTGAAAGCTTTTCATTTGTCTTTTACTTTTAATAAGACAGACCATTCTTTTTTTTATTTTTTGGTTTTTTTCCAGACAGGGTTTCTCTGTGGCTTTGGAGGCTGTCCTGGAACTAGCTCTTGTAGACCAGGCTGGTGTCACAGAGATCTGCCTGCCTCTGCCTCCCCAGTGCTGGGATTAAAGGCGTGCGCCACCACCACCCAGCAAGACAGACCATTCTTAGTAACAGCTATAGTTGTGTATGCTCATTTGTGAATTTGGTATTCACAGCAATGGGTATTTTTTATTTACTTTTGAACAAGATCCCCCCCAGACTTGCAACAGTATCCTTCTGCCTACCCAGTACTCCGGGATCACAATTGGAAGCCACCATGCCCAGTAAGTAGTATTTCAGTCAAACCATAGAACAATTTCATTTGGTTATATCTCGTTTTTGACAAGAGAGAATGAGTACCAAAGCTAAACAGAGAAACCTTGTCTTGAAAAAACAGAGAGCGAGGGGGGTTGGGGGGGGAGGGAGAGAGAGAGGGAGGGATTTTTCTGGAACTGTTTTTCTATGGTGCCAGAATTTATCAAATAACAAATTCCCAATGTACAGTGGTTTCAATGGCAGCCTTTTACCAGATACTTTCACCTTAATTATCAACTCTCAGATCACACATTACATATATACACATATTTATGTACACGGGTAACAGGATGCTTTAAAGGGTTAAGAGGCCCGAGTGGCAGGAAAGCTCATGGAGATGGAAAGCCTCTGTTGAGAGACTTGTTAGTCACAGATCTGAGAGTGAAATTGCACAGTTGAGTCCGGATACAGAGGTGGAAGAGTAGGAACAAGTTCAAACAAAGAACTTGGCAGATGGACGGACAGCATGTCCAGATGGGCAAACAGGATGGGAAGATGGCAGCTGAATTAGGCTATGTCAACAGCAAGGACAGAGCATATTCTATGTGACAGTCAAATGACAAGGTAGTGGAAACCACCACCTTTGTAGGGCTAGGTGTCCACCCCTTTATAGAGTTAAACCTTTCACTTGGTCTAGTGTCTCCCTTAAGTTCTTGAGCATGGTGTGATTCTAATATGTCCATGTGCCCCTGCATTCTCAATTCATCCCCAATAAATTTAAAGGGTGGTGCCCTTCATACTCCCAGGAGTAAGTAATTTATCAGTCTCTGCTATGTGGGTGATGCCACACAGATGGTGCTGTTCAAATAGTCCCTCCAGGTGCACAGTCATCTTCTACCATCAGAGTGGAATCTCTCAAGGCAAGGCACAGTTTGAAAAACCAGTTTTGTGCAATACAGAGTAACTTAGAACAGGGCATATGTTACCTGAACAGGTCCATTCTGTTTAAATGGAAACAAGTTTAAATTGTGCAGCTATGGAGTCCTGAATGCATCCTCAGCTTACATGTCCCTAAAGATTGTACCTAGCTCTTCAGAAAAGAGGTTGTTGGCATGCTTTGGAGTTTGATGGGAAGATGCCTCAGAAATGCAAGATTTCATTATTTCTATTAATTAAAAATAACTCTTAAGGCATCTTACAAATTTTAAGCCAATTTCTCTGATGAACCATCTTGAAACCAAACAGAAAAGACAAAAGGAAATGACATTGTTTTAGAAGAAAAAATAAGGATGTCTTAGAATAAAGAGAAAATATTCTTTCCAAGCTTCACAATTATACTCAGTCTGATAAAAACAAGGGCTGGCCCACTGTGCACTCTAAAAATATTGGCGAACCCAGCACCCATGCTCTACCAGCATGGTAACTGGCCTCCAGGAAAACAGCAGAACTCAAGAGACTGCCTGGAAAACAACAGAAAGGGGGCATCCAAAGCTGAGAGAAGGGACAAAATTAAAAGGTCACTGAAAGAGGAGCAGAGGTGACGGATCATAAGTTAAAGGGCTTACTGCTTATGTATGGGGTATGATTCCAGATCCTCAGCATTCACTAAAAAGCTGGGTATAATGGTATGTATTGTAATCCCACTGCCAGGGAGACACAGAATCTCAATGACTTGCTGGCCAGTGAGTCTTGCCAATTGGTGAGGCCCACACCAGCCAGTGAGAGATCTTGTCTAAAACAAATAGACTAGAGAGCCAACACACACAAAGGAGAGAAGAGGGAAGGAGACCTACAGGAATTGTGATTTCTGATGTCCATAGGAAAACAATTAGTAGCCACCTGCACCAGCCCATCTTCTGGCAGGATTAACACCAAGCCCCACATTGAAGATTTATTTTTGTTGTCATTATATTTTGTTGTATATAACTTGTCCAGCTTTCAACAAAAACTTACATGGTAAGTAAAAGCAGTCAAATGAGACAAAGCAATGATCACTGGAAGACTTAGAAATAGCACATTATTGGATGTATCAGAATTTTAAATGACTATGGCTCGTCCTCTGAAAACTCTTTGTGTAAGACTGAGAGTGTAGTTCAGTGGTAGAGCCCTTGCCTGTCATGTAAAGGCCTTGGATTCAAAATGAAAAGTAAATATTTAAAGCTGAGCACATCTGTAATCCAATAAACTGGGAGATGAAGGCCAACCTCAACTACATGGTGAATTTGAGTCCAGCCTGGGCTTTGTAAGTTCCTATCTCAAACAAAATGAAATTAACAACAAGGAAAAGACTACAAAAATTAAAACTACAGATCAGTACTTCTTATGAACCTAGATTCAAAACCTCTTGATAAAGTATTAGCAAGTAAACATCAGCCATATATAAAAAAATAAGACACAAGCAAGTAGGATGTATTCCAACCATGTAAGACTAGATCAATATTTGAAAAGCATGGTTGGAGAAAAGGCTCAGAAGTTAAGAGCATTTGCTGTTCAATTAGAGGACTTGAGATTGATTCCCAGTGTCTACATGACAGCTAACCATATGTAACTCCAGTTGGAGGGATCTGATGTCTCTTACTGGCCTCCATAGGAACCAGGCACATATATGGTGCATATATGTGTATACATACATTCATATATATATGAAACAAATTGTTCAGAGGATAAGAGCCCTTGCTGCTCTTCCAGAGGACAGGGCTTTACTGCCAGCACCCACATGGCAATTCACACCCATCTGTAACTCCAGTCCTGGGGGTCCAACACCTTCCTGTGGCCTCCTATGCACATGGTGCACAGACATAAATGCAGGCAAAATATAAACATAAAAATAAAAATCTTTAAAATATATAAATAAATCTTTCAAGAAAACATTTGAGGCACATCTCGTGCCAGGGTTTAGCCAGATAAATGTATTTCCCATCCTTCAACAATGAAACTTTACTTTGCAACACAGAAACCATTTTAGAACACAATGCGGATAACAAGTGACCATGTATATATCTCAGCCCCAATTGATCCATCTATGACACAACTCCTGCACCTAAGGTTCAGATAACTTTTCAGAGAGAGGGCAGAAAGAGTATAAGAGCCAAAAGAACAGAATGTCAGCTGTGAGACTGTGTTTTCTAGAAATGCCAGGGAAGCTACACCCAGGAAGTCTCATCACTTGACTGCCTTAACAATACCTGAACAACAAAAAGACAAACATGATATGTACTCACTCATATGTGGATTTTAGACATAGAGTAAGAGATTACCATCCTACAATCCACACTGCCAGAGAAACTAGTAAACAAGGAGGACCCTAAAAGAGACAAACTTTGTCCCCTGGAGAAGGGGAAAGGGTCACCATCCCCTGAGCATATTGAGAACATGGGAAGAGGGGGCAGGGAGCTAGGGGGGGGGGAGGTTGAACAATACTTGAACAAGGATGACACCAACAGGCATGTTATTGTGATGTGGGAAATATCATGGGACCCCAACCCTGGCAAAAGAACTACAGGCAACTAAGGAATGCTGAGAAAAGTAGTACTCTTCCCCCAGGGATGAACCCCTTCACTGGCTGTTCAGTACCAAATGATCAACCCTGAAATCATATATATATATATATATATATATATATATATATATGTGTGTGTGTGTGTGTGTGTGTGTGTGTGTGTGTGTGTAG